TGCGATCCAAGTCTCCGAATTTCGACCGGTATTGTCTCTTTAATGGAATAAATATGCGTGAAACGATCCCCGAGTGCTTCTGGCAGAAGCGAACGTCGAAATCATCTCAAGTGGAGTATTAGGATTACTTGTGAATGGTGATGTGACGGACGGTTTTTCGTTTGTCAGAGCTGTCAACGGCAAGAGAGGCGAGAATAAAAATTTGTCACTGTCAACGGTAACAATAGTTTTAAACCAATCGATGCTTGCATCTTTTAAATTAAAGACCATTCGCTATTAGAGAATATTACGACAAACCTATTGGGAAATACAGGCAGAAGGGGAAAAAATATCGGGAAAAGATATCGTTTGAAGTCATTTGAAGCATTTGAAAGATTGAAAGTGGAAATGTCAACGCGAATCGTGTAAAAATTTTGAAATCTTTGTGACGTCCGATCAGCTACGGATCGAATAGCTAGCTATTCTACTGTAGTAGTTCTTTTTCGTCATCCAAGTGCGCCGAATAGAAAAAAAAGGTCCGTTCTCTCCTGGTAGAATGACGGAAAGAACGGAACGAAGAAAGGAACGAACAAGGAATAGATTGGCGAACAATTCAGGGATCACTCCATTGCGTTTCATTCCCGGCACATTCCTATCCCTCTCTAATAGTCGAATCGGTTTTTACTGATACAGAAGCGTTCGTTTCTAAATAACATATCAGAAAACTAGCATATTTTAATAATCGAAAGAAACAACGCTAGAAATAACGTCTATAACGATATATCAGCCTGATTTGATTATTCATATTTAATGTGAGAATTTTAAATCGAATAATAAACAAACCGAAGCTTTAATCTATATTAAATCTCGTTCGATATTTATCAAGGCATTTTTTTATAATTTTCTTAACATCTTGAAGTCATATTAAATGTCTTGAGATGTTTAATTATTGCTGTAGGAAGTGTTGATTTTTCAATTTAAAAAAAAAAAAAAAAAAGAAGAAGGAAAAAATGTATGACCCCACGGTAGTCAAGTTAGTTGCCTTTCATTTAGCCGCGTAATATTTTTTTTA